TTGCCAAGACTGTTAATCACTGTTTATGCGCGCGACTATATAATAAAATGAAAATGCATTTGGAATGAAAGCAGCACCAAATGGGGAATAGTGGTGTATGTATGTATGTATATTGATGCAGCTCCGATGCATAGTTCGAATAGAAAAATGGTGATGGTGGTAGTAGTAGCAGTACCAAGCGCGCGACAAGTTATGAATATTTACGCTCATTGAATATGCATATCACTGACAATGTATTTATTTATTTTTTTTTTTTCCTTTTTTTTTCGTACCCCATGACGGTGGCTACGACGACGACGACGATGACGACGACGAAGGATCAATATTTCGTTGGACTGCTACTGAATTCTCGGGAGATATTTTTAAATTTCACTTTCGCTTTCACTTTGACTTCAACTATAACATGAATACTCCAGGTTACAAAAACGTTAGAAACATTGATTAAAACGAACATAACCTCAAAAATCATGGGCATAGGTCAAAAACTTTGGTATTTGAGATGAACATAACCTCAAAATTAGTATCAGAGGTCAGGAGATGACCCTTTCCCTTTAAATTTTAAATATCATAGGTCAAAGGAGAAAATAACCTCAAATTTACGTCAAAGGTCATATGCGTGGAGGCAAACATAACCTCAAAATTTGGTTAAAGTCAAATTTAAATAGAGGGTTGTCGCGCCAAGTCCCCCTAGTATATATATAGAGCTCGTTGAACGTGATTAAAGTGAGAACGATGTACTTCAAAATTGTATTTTTTTTTTTTTTTTTTGCTCATCTACTCTCACGCGCATTTACTTTCAATGTGCTTTATCGTTCGAAATGTCACTGCGACAGGCATCGATGCGTTACTCTCGCGTATACGGATTTACGACAGCTTTACCTACGAAAACGGCTTTAGTTTTTACTCGTTCAACTTGTATATATACGATAAAAATGCTACGGTAAATGTATTTTTCATCTCAATTGAATTTTCACCTTTATTGCAACAACTTTATTCTTATCCAAAGTGTACGTTCCTAACGGTATATATATATATATTTTTTTAATCCAAAAATTATTCATTTATTATTATTTTTATTATTTTTATTATTATTATTATTATTATTATTAATATTATTATTATTATTATTAATATTATTATTATTAATATTATTATTATTACTATTATTATTATTACTATTATTTTTGTTTATAATTTATTTTTCTAATAGAATAAATTTTTTTTAAAATTCCTTTGAGGATTGAATATTTACTTTAAAAATTGAGATTTTATAAAATATATATATCCTCTTTATCTTTTGTGCTTTAAACTCTCTTTTCTTCTCTCTCCTGAAGGTAAGGGATTAATCTACCTATGTTTTTATTCCACTTCCTTGACTCTCAATTCTCTTTATAATAATACACTACTTTATTCCCTTAACCCAAAACACTTTGTTTCAAAACTGTTTCCTCCTATTTTTTTTATACAAAAGAGGGAATAAAAGAAAAATTAACTCGATACATTAAACCTTTTTTTTCATCGATAATATTACAACCCTTCTTCTTCTTCATTAAAAATAAAAGGGAAAAAAAAATTATATATTTCCAAACAATCTATTATTGATATAATACTATCATTCAATATTAATTAAAAGAATTTTAATTATAAATATTAAAAAATTTATTAATATTAATATAATTATTATTAAATACAATAATAAATTATTATTGTATTTAATGATAATTACATTAAGTCTATCAATATATTATTTAAAATTTTATTTCATGAATTATTGAAGATGCTATTTTTATTTGTAGATATATATATATATACAGAATCTATTAATTTTTAAGAAGTAAAACCAATTTATTAATTCTTCTCCCCCCCCCTCTCTCTCTCTATTAAATATTCTGGTGTTTGTCTCGCAAAAACGTGCAGTAATAATTAATCTTAAAAAATTATTTACTGAAAGTATACTAAAAAAGGTAAATGGTCTAGGAGAAAAATTTTAATATACACACTTCTCAAAAAAAAGAAAAAAAAATGTATTTTTCAAGTGAAAAATTTTCCATTAAATAGTTATTCAACTTCGTTAAAATAAATAAAAAATATTTTCAATAATAATTCAATTTTTTAAAGCTATCTCTTTTTTTCTATTTGATTCTTCAGTAACATGAGAGGATCAAGTAAATATACACACACATATGTGTGTGTAGAGGAATTTTAAAGAGAATAGGTCACAGTAAAATCGATTTTTCGTTGGACCCAGTTTAAATTGCAAAGAATTTATTCTTGTTATAAAATTTTAACTACAGATGATTCAACAGAAACCCTTTTTTTGGTAGGCAAGGGTAGGAAAATAAAGACCTATTTTTTTTCTTTAAATGCATGTCAACTATAAAAATTTTAAGTTTCCATTAAAAAAAATATTAAAAATTTTAAAATTAATGACTTTTTTAACAAAAATATATTTTTTTTTTCACTAGTAAAATTTAACCACATCCACTATGAGGCGTCTCTATCTTAATCTCGCCTATTTTTGAACATTTTCATATCAAACCACGCCTACTTTCAGACAATAAATTGAAAACCACGCCTACTAAGAGGGGTTCCTAACTACATCCCTCCTATTTGGAGGCGTTCTTCATTAAACCACGTCTACTTAAAGTTGATTAGTGTTAAGCCACAGCTAGTGAGATGTTTTCTCATCTAAATCCCGCCTATTTATAGGCGTTTTATTTTAAACCACGCCTACTTAAAGAAGTTTCTATCTAAATCTCGCCTATTTGAAGGCGTTTTATCTTAAACAATGCCTACTTATAGACATTCCTACCTAAATCCCGCCTACATAGAGGCGTTCTCTATTAAGCTATACCTATTTGCAGTAAATTTAAGCCCTACCTCCTTAGAGGCGTTTCTACATAAATCACACCTACTTGTAGGCGTTTTATTTTTAAACCACACCCACTTGAAACGTTATTTACTTGGCCCGCCCACTTTAAAGTGTTAATCTGACAAAATACATCTACATAGAGGCATTTAGGTACTCCTTTCAAACTTACTTTAGGGCGTTTTTATCTAAAACACGCCTACTTAAAGGCGTTTTTATCTTAATCTCTCCTACTTTTGAGTTATTTTCCTTCAAACCACGCCTACTATTAGAAAAGGGCATTTTAAATCACACCTACTCAAAAGTGTTTCTATCCACACGTAGGTTGTTCAAAATATCAATCAATAAAGTAAAATAAGTAATCCATCAAAATGAAGGGTTAAAAAAATTTAAGCTAAATGTATATACATATACAATAAAATAATTCTCCGAAGAATCAACGTAAATTGAGCTTTGAGAATGAGTAAAATTCACATTAAAAGCATTTTGCCTAATGTGAAATCTATGAAGCGTGGAATTTTGCTGAATTCCACGAGTATTCTGAATGAAGACAAAGGAGAGATAATGTCAACCATTTGAAGTGACTAAAGCTTAAGAAAGCGCTCCTTGATGCTTGAGGGCATAGTTTTAAGAGCGTAAAAATAACAGCTTTTAAAGGCGTGGAAATAACAAATATTAAGATGCGCTGCGTACATAATAATTTCCCTATTTATTTATATTCAACTCACATACCTCAATTAGCATTCTAATGAATTGATATTTATTTCCATAATTTTTTTTTTTGATTATTAATTTTAACACAACTTTCAGGAAAAAAAATTATTATTCTCATAGACATTCCTCTTCAATAGCGGGAGAAAAAATTTTTTTAATTTAATTACATTTTAAATGTTCCTTTTGGAATTTTTCCTCATTTTGAATCAACAAGAAAAAGACGAAAGCGAAAAATGTTAACAGAATTAAAAAAAGTTTAGTTTTTTTTAATTAAATTTCTTTTACACGAAAGAACATTCATTATATTAAATAAGGAAAAGTGATTTTGAAAAGAATTTGAAAAATCTATGTTGTACTTTTTATTAACAGGTTGGAATATATTATTATAAATTCAGGGGGATTTTTTTTCTGCTAATTTCAGAAACAGAAATTTTTTTCAAGACCAATTTTTTTTCTATTTAAATGAAACTCCAAGTTAAATTCTATTGTGGAATAGAATTTTAAATGTTGAATCTACAAATTAATTCTTTGGCCTTTATTTTAAATGATCGATAATATGCGCGATTTAATGAATAATTTCCTTTTTCAGCACGAATATTTTCCAGCAATTTTTAATTAGAAATTTTAATCAGTTAAATGTTAATTAGATCAATGAATAATTATAAGAATTATAATTAATTATTTAATAGGGTTAATTATTGATTATAATTAAAAATGATCAATAATTATATTGATTCCTAATTAGAGGAATTCCAACCTAATTTCCACACAATCATAGGCGTTTTATTTTAAACCAGACCTACTTGTAGGCGTTTCTACATAAAAACACACCTACTTCGCGACGTTTTCATCTAAACAACGTCTACTTAGAGGCGTTACTATTTAAATCCCGCCTATTTTAAAGTGCCTCTATCTAGAACACGCCTACTAGAGGCGTTTTCTTATAAAACTACACCTAATTGCAGTCAATTATCTTTAAACCACACTTTCTCAAAGGCGTTCTAACGTAAATCCCACCTACTTATGGACGTTTTATTTTAAACCACGCCTGTTTAGAGGCGTTCCTATCCAAGTTCCGCCTACTAGAGGCGTTTCTTTATAAAAACACACCTATTTGGAGGCGTTCTCTATTAAACCACGCCTACTAAGAGACGTTTCTTTCTAAATCCCGCCTATTTGGAGGCGTTTCTATTTAAGACACGCCTACCTGGAGGCATTATCTATTAAACCACGCCTACTAAGAGGTGTTCCTATCTAAATTACCCCTATTTGGAGGCGTTTTCTATTAAACCACGCCTACTTAGAGGAATTCCTACCTAATTACCACCCACTTATAAGCATTTTATTTTTAAACCACGCCTACTTGAAGGCGTTCCTATATAAAAAAAATTGGATGATAAAAATATTTTTCACTAACCTTCATTGTCAATGGTGAACAATCCAATTCCATCGCCAGCGCGTATACTGTATCCAATTCTTGAATCGCCACCAGGTGGATCAGCATCTTTGGCGCGAACAGTTGTCACCAATGTACCGATTGGTTGATTTTCCAAAATACTCGCGGACACAACAAAATCATCAAACACAGGCGCATGAAGATTTTCATTAACATCAACAACTTCAACAATAAGCATTGTCTCCGATGATAATGACGGTTCACCACGATCGACGCCAATAATTGTTAGGGTATGAACTTGTCTCTCTTCAAAATCTAAACTTTGATTTGTCCTCACAGTTCCCGACACTTTGTCTACTTTGAAGAATCCTTCACTCTCCATAGCGTCAGACAGAAAGTACTCGACATTTCCCCCTGGTCCTTCATCGGGATCAGTCGCCTCAACAACGGCAACCACACTCCAAACTGGCACGTCCTCCCTTATTTTCACTGTATAATTTGGAAGTGCAAAAATTGGCGGATTATCATTAACATCGTCCACAGTAACACTGACAATAGCATCGGAAAACAATGGCGGTGCATCTGTACCATGACCACCATTATCCTTGGCTCGTATTCTCAATTCATAAAATTCCTGTCTCTCACGATCCAATTTACCAAAAACACTCAAAACACCCGTCACTGAATCAACGCGAAAATCATTTGTATCCGTCACCAATGAATAAGTGACTCTTGCATTCTCACCAAGATCAGCGTCAGTTGCATTTGCTCTAAAGATACTCGTTCCATTTAGTGCATTCTCCGAAACACGAAATTTAGCCAATGATTTCTCAAATTTCGGTGCATTATCATTAACATCCAAAATAGTCACAGGCAACATACGCGACGATGATTTTTGCGGTTTACCCAAATCATAAACACTGATATTTAAAAAATATTCACTCTCCTTCTCACGATCCAAATGTCCAATTATATTCAAATCTCCCGTATCTGCATCAATACCAAATACCGAATCTCTATCGCCTCCCGATATGCCCATTACTAATTTTCCATTATAACCTAAATCACGATCCCTAGCACGTATTTTAACAACAGTTGTTCCAATTTTCACCGATTCATTAACTTTTATTTCATTTGGAAAATCAATAAATTCTGGTGCATGTACATTATCACCATAACGACTTGGCATCATTGATCTTTCATCTTCAGCCGATGGCATATTATTTTTTTCAGCCGATGCAATTGCATCCGTTAAACGACGTGCAACACCCGTATCTTTACATTGAAATGAACCACTTTCATCAGTTAAAATTTTACCCTGCGATGGTAAATTTCTTTTTGCTGTGACAAAATGTATATCAATACTATTAACATCGGCAAAATGTGTCCCATCAGTTGCAGTGACATTTATCATTCTTTCCTGTTCTTTAATATCATTAAGATCACACGCTACAGACAATACACCACTTATTGAATCCAATGCAAAACATCCATCACTATTTCCAGAAACAATACGATAACTAATAATATTTCCCGCATCAAAATCAATTGCCGATACTGTTATTATTTCCCCACCAACTGGTACATATCTCGGTACATGACCAGTACAATCAAATTTTTCAAATTGTGGCCTATTATCATTAACGTCATGAATTTTAATTTTTAATTTCATTTCCGTACGACGCTGATATGGTAAACCCCAATCACCAGCACGTATATGTAACACATATTCCCTTTTCATTGTCTCATAATCCAATATCTGTTTAGTACGTATCACACCAGTGAATGGATCAATTTCAAATGGTACCTTTTTAATATTATCAATACTATAGGAAATATAGGCATTCTCACCGGCGTCTTTATCCTTGGCAGTCACTTTAACAACCATTGTACCAGCGGGTTCATTTTCATTAATCCAAACCAACATATCAGTTTGTTCAAAAGTTGGATCATTATCATTTGTATCGACAACGTAAATTTTCACTTTAGCCGATGATTGTTTTCTAGTTCCTGCATTCCCCTGATCTACCGCCGAGACAGTTAATGTATAAAATGCCTTTTTCTCTGCATCTAAATTCACCGCCGTATATAACATACCAGTATCGGCATTAACATAAAATTCCCCACCCTCATTGCCACCGACTATTTCCAAAAATACCAACGCATTCTTACCCTCATCGGCATCACTCACTTTTAATCTAATCACCGGTGTATTAATTGGCGCTGTTTCAGGAACTTTAATTTCATAAATTTCACGACTAAATACCGGTGCATTGTCATTGAGATCGGTAAGATGAACTGGTAATGATTTATAGCTAAAACGCTGTGGAATACCACGATCAACAGCACGTAGTGTTAAATTATAACCACGTGGTGCTGTTTCACGATCCAAAAGATGTAGCACCTCAATATTATATTCACCAGTTTGTGTTAAACTTGGCCTCACTCGAAAATGACCATCCGGATCACCGCCAACTATCTCGAGACTACCAATTTCACCATGTGAACCACTATCACGATCAATAACACGTACAATTGCATAAATATCAGCATTTGAATGTTCCAATATATCGGGAAGATGATGAACATAAATTTCTGGTGCATGAAGATTTACCTGACGTACTCTAATTGTCACTTTTGCTGTGCTTGCTCTTGATGCACCAGTGCTACGGTACATTGCACCACGATCCTTTGCAAGAACAATAAATTCATGCATTGCTCGCTCCACGTATCTGGAAAATTAAATTTTCATCACTGGTGTTTAACATTTAATAATAATTTGAAGATTCCCTAGAGATTCAATCAGCAGAATTTCGTTTACGTTAAAAATTCTCAGAGATGTGGGACGAAATTAAATAAATATATTAAAAATTCCAATGGAAGTGCTCAATTAAGATTTAGTCTTAATTTTTTGTAACAACTGTTTTAAGGTATTTTCATTTAAATCACGTTGAATTACAGGGGATTAATTTTAAACAACTCCTACTGAGAGGCATTGCAAAATCCCGCCTACTAGGAGGCGTTTCCCTTTAAACCACGCCTTCTTATAGGAGTTTTCTTTTAAACCACGCCTTATTAGAGGCGTTTCTATCGAAACCCCGCCTATTTTGAGGTGCATCAATCTAAAGTCACGCCTACTAGAGGCGTTCTCCATTAAACAATACCTACTTGCAGTCGTTTAGCTTTAAGTCACGCCTACTTAGAGGAATTCCTACCCAAATCCCACCTATTTATAGGCGTTTTCTTTAAAACCACGCCTACTTGAAGGCGTTTTCATATAAAAACACGCTTACTTAGAGTCTTTCCTATAAAAATCCCGCTTATTTAAAAGTGTTTCTATCTAAAATGCGCCCACTTGGTGGTGCTATTTACCAAACCACGCCTACTTACAGGTGTTTTTACATAATACATATCCACTTTAAGGCGTTTCTATTTTAATCACGCCTACTTTTAAAACGTTATCTTTTAAATTACACCTATTTTTAAGTAATTGATTACCACGCCAACCAAGAGACATCTTCTATTTAAAGAACGCCCACTTAGGGGCGTTACCTGTAAAACCACGCCTACTTATGTGCGATTTGATATAAATAACGCCTAAATAGGATGATTTCTTTTAAATCACGTCAATTTAGAGGCAATTTTATTTATAACTACTCCTACCTAAGGGTGTTTCAATCTAAATATCTACTTGGGGGCGTTATTTATCAAACTACACCCACTTAGAGTTGTTTCTACTTAAAACACGCCCACTTTAAGGCGTTTCAATTTAAATCCCGCATACTTATAAGTGCTTTAATTTAAATCACGCCTATTCTCAGATCATGTAATTAGAAGTACGTCTACTTAGGGGTGTTTCTATCTAAAACACCCCGAGTAGAAATTTTTAATGGGGCTAGCTCGCGGCGCGAGACTCCATAAGCGGTAACATGGCATCTAGCGCTTCCATCCTAGCGCCATTACAAATTTCTACTCGGGACGCCCACTTGGGGAAGTTATTTATCAAACCACGCCTACTGACTGATATTTAAACACGCCCACTTTAAGGAGTTTTTATCTTAATTCAGCCTACTTTTGAGGTGTTTTCTTTTAAACCACGCCTATTATTTAAAACCACACCTACTTTGAGTTGTTTCTATGTATAGTTCAGAGTTGTCGATAAGTATTTTCGGTAGTATTTTACATTTAGAAATTCCAACCGAATCTCCAGGGATCTCCTTTTGGGAAATTTTTTCAAGAATAAACTTTTGGTAAATGAAAAAAAAACATGGACCGAAATTAAAAAATAGGTAATGCTTGAATTTAATATTTAAAGTTCAAAATTTTGTGACTGTATCCTTACCTCAAAGGCCTCGTGAGTGTAATAACTCCACTAACAGGATGTATAGCAAATTGATCAGTTTCTTCGGCGAAGCTATAATAAATTTCTCCATTTCTACCAAAATCAGCGTCTTCGGCTGTTACTTTTAAGATACTACGATGTAATGGTGTATCTTCTGTAACTGTTGCCTCATACTCAGTGGGATAGAATAGAGGATTTAAATCATTTGTATCGAGTACTGAAACAGTAACTGTTGTATCAGCTTCTAAAACTGTTATTTTATTCTTGTCCCTTCTAGTCGATGTGGCGCGCACTTCCAATATATATCTATCATTACGTTCACGATTTAACACATCAACATTACCGGTTCTAGTCCGAATTAATAAAAAACAAAAATCACCAATAATACGTTCTTCAGCCTTAAAAAATTTGTCCTTATCACCACCAACTATACGATATTTAATATCGCCCACCGTTTCTTGTTGTTGTTGGAAAATTTGGATACCCATTTTTTGTTCTGGCACAACATATGTTTTACCAATTGAATTTTCCAAAATTGAAACATTATAATTAATTTCAGTGAAACGAAAATCTTCAAAAGGTATTGTTGAATCTGTGGTGATAGGCGGTACTATTGTTGTTGTTGTTGTTGTTGTTGTTGTAGGTGAAATTATAGTCGATGTAATGATTGGTAATGGTGGTGTTGGTATTGGTGTCGTTTCAAATGATCCGTCGATGGATGACGGAGTACCGGCTGTGACTGACAATAGCCAAAGCCAGAACCATGGCCACGAGAGCAGCAGGTGCTGCTTCATTTCTCTCATTTTGCTAGCTCATTCTCATTGACATCTTTGATAAGCTCTTCAGCTTTATCGCTTCTCGTGACGACTCCAGATCTACGATCTTAACACCATCTGAAACAAGAAAAAAAATTTTTCACCATTTATTAAATTGCCAATATTTTTTGTACAGAGAGAAAATAAATTATTACTTATTGTTTGATATTTGATTTTTGTTTAATATTAAGTTATTGATTTAAAATTCAGGTAATTTATTAAAAAAAACGACTACTTAAACGCTTTTCTATCTAAAACACGCCTATTTGGATGCGTTATCTATCAAACCACGCCTACTTAGAGGAGTTTCTATTATCTATAACACGCCTATTTCGAGGCGTCAACTATCGAACCACGTCTACTTAGAGAAGATTTATTTTTTAAGACACGCCTACTTAGACGCATTTTTATCTATAACACGCCCACTTAGAGATGTTAACTATCAAACCACGCCTACTTGAAGGATTTTTTAAAATTCACGCCTACCTAGAGACGTTTCCATCATAAACATGCCCATTTTTAAACGTTAACTATCAAACCACGCCTACCTAAAGGCGTATCTATCTAAAAATACGCCCATAGAAAAGCGTTAACTATCAAACCACGCCTACTTGGAGGCGTTTTTATCTAAAAACAGGCCCTTTCGAGGGCGTAAAATATCAAATCAGGCTTACTTAAAAGCGTTTTAATCTAATACACGCCTATTTGGAGGCGGGGATTTATAAAACCACGCCTACTCACAAACAATTAATTTTTAAACGAAATCCACTTTATAACGTTTCTAACTTTTTCCCGCCTATTTTTGAGGTGTATTCTTTTAAATCACGCCTATTCTCAGATAATGTAGGTGAATAAATTGAATGTTAAAATATTTATTGTAAATCCAAACATTAATTAAGTCATATTTAATCGAATTTTTATTCTTATTTATATGTAATGTTTTGTTCTAAAGTCTTTCGCAAAATGTTAATATAAATCCTGATCAACAATATATATTACAATATTAACCTTCTATTTCAATGTTTGACAATTTTACATTATTATCAGAATTCATCAATCATTCAATTAAGAAGATATTAGAAGGAATACAAATTATGCCTGAGTATAATAATAATAATTTACCCGCATCAAATAATCGCTATAATTGTCCATAATCGAATATGTGTTTATAGAACGTGATCAGACTATATAACAGCAATTTGTATTTAATCTACTATCGAGAGTATTTACTCGTCAGTATTTCCATTATTGGTTATCGGTTGTCCGAATCTCTCTCGCTTTTTCGAAATTGTGTGTATGTGTGTGTGTGTGTTTACTTGTGGGATCAATCCAAGAAAATGGTTACGGAAGCAACAGGTTGTTTTAGAGAGGGTGTGGAGAAGGGTGGGACGAACTTTGAGAAAATTCGCAGGAAAGTCGGTTGCTTTCGTGTCTTTCAACAAAACTGCCGTTTCTCTCTTTCCTCATTATCTTTTCTTCCATATAAATATTTCATTGTCGTGAGAAAATTTCAAAAGACTTATAATCATAGATTCAAATGTTTTAAATTTTCTGACTTTAGAAAATTGCATATCTATATTATTTTTTTTGCAGATTTCATTCAAAACAATTTTATCACTTTTATTTGAATATAAATTTGTCATTTCATTTTATTTGAATTCACAAAAAAGAGAGCATAAATCCATTTATGCGAATCCTGAAACATGATTTACTAAAAAAAAAATGACTAGACCCACAAAAAAAAGTAATTTATTAGACATAAATTCTATAGAATCTGACGGATGTTCTGAAATTTTTTTTTTATTATTATTTTTTTGCCATGATTTAGTGCAAGGTCGATATTTCAAGCACAACAACGACGATGACGACGACCTGGAACCTTTAACAAGAGAGAGAAAGAGAGAAAGTCACGGTTAAAAAACAAAAAAAAAAATTTCAACGACCGACAGGATTCGATGTGTGTGTGATTTATTACGAATAGGAATCAGAGTTGGCAGTTGGACGACCGGATTTCGAGTACTCGAATCGACGATATATCGAAATGTTGAATGGCAGCGGCGATGCTTTCCTGATGCACAATACCTGCCCGAAACTCGATGCATTGTTCTGGAAATCTCATCCAGTGACATTGCGTACTGGTTTCGTTTCTCGTTGCAAGTTATAGAGAAACGAGAGAGAGAGAGAGAGACAGAGAGCTATACGATATATTCTACCAGTTCATATTTCCTGAATCGAATTCCAGTTATCCAAAAGTGGCAACCCAAGCGACACATTCAAATCGTCCTATTAGTGGCTTTAGGTGAATTACGTGCGTATCTGATTTTGATCATAAAGATCTTTCTGATAGTTCTGTGTTCTGTCGAAAAATTATTATCGAAATCTCAAAAAAAACTTCTCCATTTTTGGCAGAATTCCAATAACCCTCTATTATATTTGGGGAAACTGATTTCCTCTCAAATTTACTAATTATAGAGCAATTAATTTCAAAATATTTCTTTTTAGAGGCGTTTCTCTCTACATCACTCCTACTTAGAGGCGTTTTATTTTTAATCACGCCTACTTATAGGCGTTACAATAGACATCTCATCTACTTAGGGGGGTTTTATTTTTTAGTCACACCTACTTAGAGGCGTTACAACTTAAATCCCGCCAATTTATAGGCGGTTCTATCTAAAAGAACACGCCCATTTTGGGGCGTCAACTATTAAATCACGCGTACATAAAGGCGTTTCTATATAAAAACACGCCCACTTGGAGGCGTCAACTATAAAAGCTCGCCTACTTAGAGGCATTTTTATCTAAAACACACCTATTTAAGGCATCAACTATCAAACCACGCCTACTTAGAGGCGTTTCTATCTAAGGCACACCCACTTGAAAGGTTTTATATCTTATCCGCGCCTACTTTTATGGTTTTTTCTTTGAAACCACGCCCACTTGAAGTTGTTTCTGACTGAATCCCACCTACTCTTCAGGTGTTTTCTTTTAAACCACGTCCACTTGAAGGTGTTCCTATTTTAGCCCCACCTACTTTAAAGTGTTTTCTTTCAATCCACGCTTACTTTTGGATAACGCATTTAGAATCACACCTACAGAAAGGTGTTTCGATCTAAAATACGCTTACTTTAAAGCATTGCAGATACTTACAGAAATATTCTGGTGAATTTCAGACAGAAACTTTAAAATTATCTTCAGAGGATTTTTTCCAAGTGGAATATGATTAGCAACTAGTGATATCAATTGTTTTAAGAATTGTTAAATATAATTGAAATTCAATAAAGAATATCAACTTTAGAGGCTAATTTGGACTAAATTTGAAAAAAAGAGTAAATTGCGTGGGATAAAGAGGACAAAGGTTGAGAAGACAAAGCTCAACGTGTGTTTATATCTCATTCCAGCTCCACCCATGCTACTATTATATAGATATAGCGCAAGATATCTTAATCTAAAGACTCAAAGACTATGTCTGTGTGTGTCTATGCAAAGAGGCAATGCACGCACGCACGTTATCATTTCGAGGGCGTACCGGAATAGACTAGGGCCCGGTTTCTTCATGGGTGTCGTTACGTCTTTTAACGGAGTAAATTTTCACAAGATTGTTTCTATATGTATATATATATATATATATATATATATATATATATATATATATATATATATATATATATATATATATATATATGAATATTTGCCTGCAATGCGCGAAAAAAGAGAACAGCACCACCACCACACACATACAAAAAAAGGATGAAAGTCTCTTGACGTTGCATTTTGCTCTCAAACGACTTTCTAAAGATAAGCACCGAAGCAGGAAAGCAAACGATAACTTTTTCCATTGACTACCACTACTACCATTACTACTACTACTAGTTTAATACGACTTGATAATCTACAGCCTCGCTTGGGTGTTGTTAGTTTAACGCATCAAACTTTTTATTAGACTACTTTTATTAGAATTTATTTGCTGTATTACGAATTCCGTAACTTTTAAATAATTGTTTCTAGAAAACGTTTTATGGCAAAAAAAAAATTTTTTTTTCTAATTTTAGAAATACCGAAAATAGGAAAATTGTTATTTTGAATTTAAATCCCAAAAAATTGGTAATAACGAAATTTGCTTATTATAAAATGTTTCTCTCACTCACTCTTTATATTTAAAAATATATGTTCGAGGAAATAAAATATGCTCGCACATCATTTTTCCCCGCTCGGTTTGAACATAAAATGAATCAAACGGTAGCAGATATTGGTGCAAGGAAAACAAAGTTGTTAAAGATGATTCGAATAACGTAACATCGAAAACTTTCTAATGGAGCTTCTTTTTTCCTCGTTTTCCAAGAGAATTACCTGATGGTGAATATATACGATATGATATTGCTAAACAAAATACGTTTTCAAAAGCAACTTTGGAATAAAGGTAATAACGATAAAGTATGAATGAAAATGCCAGAACAATGTCGATTCAACCTTTACCCTTCTCTCTCTCTCTCTCTCTCTCTCTATATATATATATATATATATATATATATATATATATATATAGATAGAAGGAAACTTGGATCAGTATTCGCGAAAGCGCGCTTGTCATTCTTTTTTCTCCTTTTTCTTTTCTTTGATCTCTCTTGGATTGCAATATAGGTGAGGGAGATGAGTTAGAATCCGTAAACGAGTCGTACAGAGGTTATCGTAAAACCATTACCGTCTTGTTCTTATATACATATAAAGTCTCGTGCATATTACACGCGTTGACATTCCCGGTTGTAAAATATTTTTTTATGAGATCTATTTTCTTTTGTATGATATTCTCGAATTCTTAGAGGCGTTTCTTTTTAAAGTACGCCCACTATGAGAAGTTCTTTATCAAAACACATAACAAAAATAAATTACGCATGTGATTAATTTTTAAACCACACCTACTTGGAGGAGTTTTCATTTTAACCCCTCTTACTTTTGTTTTTTTTTAATCAAACCAAGCCTACTCTTTGGAAATTAATTTTAAACCACACCTACGTAGGGGAGTTTCGACTTTAATCCCACTTACTTTTGGGATAATTATTTTCCAACCACGCCTACTCTCA